CCCCAAGATCCCACCCCCACCCCACCTCTTCACATGTCCCTGCTCTACCCCATCCTTCCTCTTCCCCGCCTGTTTCCGCCCCCTACCCTGAGCACACCCCATCCCCACTCCTCCCCCTCCCTCCCAGCACCTCCTGCACGCCACTGAACAGCTGCTCCGCAGCATGCAGGAGGCACTGGGAGGGCGGAGACGGAGTTGCTCAGCAGGGCAATGGCCCCGGACATGACTCGCGGACCCCTGGAGTACCCCTGTGGACCCCTATGGGGTCCACAGACCCCAGTTTGAGAACCACTGTGCTATGGGATTCTTTTTTAAGAAAACATGTGCCTGTCCTCAGAGAATTATATCCTGGAAAAATATGAAAAACCTTATAACGTGCCATATTTGGGGGGTTACATTATTATCTCCTTATTTCAGTTATCTGTTGTTGAATCAAAGGCAGCAATAAAATAATTTGAACTTACCAATTAGTGCAATAGCAGCATGTTGCTGTGGTGTGTGGGAGACCTGGGGTTTAGCTTGACCTCAGAACTTCTGCTCTCCGTGCCACTGGAGACCAGTGTGGTGGCCTGTGTTTCTGTGAGAAAGAGCGCAAACTGCACCGCTGTTCCCGGGGCCTCTTCCAACTGCTCTTCTTAGAGCTACTACCCAGGTCACCTCCCTTAATTCTGCAGTTTCTGCCTTCCACTCAAAAGGAAAGAGGTGTCTGGGCCAGCTTATAAAGAAAGAAACAGAAAGGGCTGGAGTTGCCATGCTGAATTAAGAAGTGCACAGTAAACAATCTTTGCCAGTGTGGCTTTATTATAGCATATACTCAAGAAGATTTTATAATCTATTTTCAAAGGTGAAAGAAGATTCCAATGTTATATTTACAGGGTGCTCTAATCACTGCTTTAATGTAACAATTAGCCTAATTGTGAACATTTTGATCTGTTTAGCACACAAATTATACTGTCAACCACCAGCTATAATTTTGTAAATTGGTGGAATATTCCTATAAAAATGCACAAAAGATTGTAAATACTGAATAAGTTCATTGTCTTAGCAACCAATTTGGGAGGGGGGAGGCACCTTTCTTTTTTCCTTTTTCTTTTAGAAATACTTTGTGGTTCACCAATGCAGACATTGCGTATTTTTGTATCCCCATGCAGTCACCATGTTAATAGTTGTTTGCTAGTTGTGGTCAGTTGATTTAAAATAGCTGACAAGCTGGTATTATAGGTCCCAATAGATTATTCTCATATCAAATGGTAGTATTGTTGCTTCAGACCAAATCCCCATTCATGACAGAGTTCATTATAGCTCTTTAATTTATGGTAACATGTGAAAGGATGAGCCTAGACAATATAAACGGAGACTCAGTTTCTTAAACTTTCCCAAGCCACACATCATCCAGTTCCTATTTTACGCTAGTTGTTTAACATCTATGTTGTTGTAAAAGGATGCGTTGCTTCAGTAAGATTGCTTTTGTGGATAAATGTAACATTGGAAAAAATAATCCCAACTATACATACAATATGATGGGGGCTAATTTAGCTACAACTAATCAGGAGAAAGATCTTGGAGTCATCGTGGATCGTTCTCTGAAGACATCCACGCAGTGTGCAATGGCAGTCAAAAAAGCAAACAGGATGTTAGGAATCATTTAAAAAGGGATAGAGAATAAGACGGAGAATATCTTATTGCCCTTATATAAATCCATGGTACACCCACATCTTGAGTACTGCGTACAGATGTGGTCCCCTCATCTCAAAAAAAGATATACTGGCATTAGAAAAGGTTCAGAGAAGGGCAACAAAAATGATTAGGGGTTTGTAACGGGTCTCATATGAGGAGAGATTAAAGAGGCTAGGACTTTTCAGCTTGGAAAAGAGCAGACTAAGGGGGGATATGATAGAGGTCTATAAAATCATGAGTGGTGTGGAGAAAGTGATAAGGAAAAGTTACTTGTTCCCATAATATAAGAACTAGGGGCCACCAAATGAAATTAATGGGCAGCAGGTTTAAAACAAATAAAAGGAAGTTCTTCACACAGCGCACAGTCAATCTGTGGAACTCCTTGCCTGAGGAGGTTGTGAAGGCTAGGACTATAACAGGGTTTAAAAGAGAACTGGATAAATTCATGGAGGTTAAGTCCATTAATGGCTATTAGCCAGGATGGGAAAGGAATGGTGTCCCTAGCCTCTGTTTGTCAGAGGGTAGAGATGGATGGCAGGAGAGAGATCACTATTAAATTCACTCCCTCTGGGGCACCTGGCATTGGCCACTTTCAGTAGATAGAATACTAGGCCTTTGGTCTGACCCAGTATGGCCATTCTTATGTTCTTATGTTTATTGTTGTTGTTATTATTTATTATTATTATATACATTTGAGGGAGTTAGTCTAAAATATGTTTTATTCAGTATATTATGATGTCACAAAAGGCCTACCCCATTCATTGACTCACTGGGCCTTGGGAACACTCTGGAAGTAATAATGCTCTCAAACCATACAATAAGAGAGCACCTCATTTACCGTTCAGCAACCCTTCACTCCCAGGTTTTGGCTAATACAACTCTCACCAGATCATGATGTTGTTTTCTGTATCTACCCCTTTCTGGCCAGAATGGAGGGGCACCACAATGGAGGGTCTCTAGAGAACTGAAAAGGGGGAAATGGGGCTGTTAGCCATTAAGCCAGACATCGAGTCAGGATTCTGAGTTTCCCTCCTGGGGTCTGCCCCAGCTCAGAATGTGCTCCCTATGACTCAATTTATCATTTTTAAAATGGTGATATTAGCTTCAGTTGTGAAGATTATGATTTTTAAAGTGTGTGGTGATTCTTTGAAGAAAGAAACAATGGGTGACCAAGACTGCTTCTTCACAGGACCTGAATAACCCTGTTCAGTGTTGGCCCTGAAGTGAAGTGGACTTCACATGCGCACTGCAGATCTTCTGGAACAGTGGCTGCCACTGCTCTGTACCACTCATGTTCAGGCTTCAGCCATTGGCTCTGTGAAGTCATGTAGCCTGTGAATCCTTCGTAATGCATCTACACATTCATACCATGCTTGTCACCACAGCATCTGAGCCTAAGAAAATTATCTCTCTCATGCACCTCTGTCAGGGCTCCAACACCCATGCATCAGCTTCTCCAAAGCCAGCATATATCTCCCCTCTTCAATGCATTGGTTTACAGAGGTGCGGTCCCACCATGGGGCTTAAGTAGAGCCAGAGAAAAGGGGGGAAAGGAACTTGTTACCATCTGTATTCACCATATTTGAATAAATGTAAATTACTGAAAAAGAAAATATCATTTCTGCAGGCCAGTGAGAAAATCTAATCATGTATATTTCTGAAAATACACAAATTGCTTCCATGAAGAATTTAGAATAAAAGATGTGATGAGTTATAAGCAGTCACTAACGTTTGTTGAACATTCTACTTGTTATTAGTGTTTCATGTACTTCTGGTTCAAGCATTTTGTGGGAAAAGAGGGGAATAAATGGGGTAACACTAAACAGATGGTCCTGTATGGGGAATTTCTAAAGCCTTTTGTGTACTTTATGTCTATGATAACAAATCACACAGTGTCAGCTTGTGAGAAATGATTATACATTTTGAAGAAGAAAAGCTCTTGCAGTCCTAGTCAGTTGGATGTCAGGGTTTCAAGTTTGAGAATTTCACGTGGAAAGGAGAATGCTTACAAGTGAGGTGAAAGTAGAAGAAATAATTGTTTAAAGACAGGGTTGTTTTTAAGTTCTCAAAAGATGGTTTATCTTAGTCTTGACCATAAATGTATCTATCTCCACCACATTCTGTGCAATATTGGTGTTATTTTATCTTTGACATCTGTATGAAATATTAAGGAAGGTGAAACTACACTCACTAAAGGAATTAGTGGGAATAAAGCTGTCTAGTAGCCTGGTGAAAAAACAAGAATCTACATAACTTTTAGTTGTTTCATTGTTCTGTTCTTGAAGTAAAAACATTTTCAGAAAGGAAGGCACAGAACTTGCTGCTTTCTTCCATGTGTCGTTTCTAAAAGAAGCTATCCCTTTGTCTAAAAGCTCTGAAATTCATAAACTCACTGCTAATATCTATCTACAGCTACCTAATATATGATGTTTCTAGGACATCCACCAAGGTAGTTTCTAAGATCCTCAGTATCTTTTGTAACCAGATAGATCAACAAATTGCTAATGGGTTACATAACCTTTCATCTCCAGGTCAATAATTCAGATCAGACTCAGAATGGTCACGGCTTGAAATCATTGCTATCCAAAGGCTGTTTGGCAGGTTGAGTTGGTGGTCTCAGTCTAGTTCTTAGCAGACAGGGTGAGACACTGGTCATGTAGGGCAGTCTAGGTATGGAGACTGAACTACTCTTACTTATAGAGAGGTGTTTCTTGAAAATGGACTGGAGGAATCATCCGTGGGACAGCTTCTGAGCTTGCAGCTCCCACTATAGATGGGTTCTGTGCATACAGGAGATACTTTCAGGTCTGCCAGTCAGGAAGCTTTCACCCGCATTGCATTCACTTGTGGAGGTGATGGGGACATAGTCTGAAGTGTATACATAAAGAGCTCTTCTCACAGAAAATAGTAGAAGTGCATTAGGAGGGTTTTCTCACAAATTTTCATTTGGAGCTAATGTTTTTCTTTCATGGTAACTCAGCAGATGCATCTTAATATTGACTCAGTGGCTGTAAAGTGGATGTTTCCTTCAAATCTGAAATTCTGTGCTGTGGCAGGCTGCCGGGTGGGGTCCAAACAGATGCACCCAGTCTCAAAACTGAGCCTTAAATGTACACAGCAGAGCTGCTGGGTTTTGGTTGCAGGGTCATGTGAAAGGGAGTTATGTGTTTAAAACCTCAACTGTGAAAATGTGTCTTTGGAAGAATCGTTTTGTTTTGTTTTGTTCATGTCAATATGAAGAATAAGAATCTTGAGGTAGAAATTTAATTAAAGTCTTATGAGTTATAACATTTTGGACTCTGTTATGTGACGGGACCTGCTTAGCTGCCTCTTTTTAAGACACAGTTGAGAACATCTTCCCTATAATGAGTTGCTGGAAGGAGTGCATCCGTTGGAAATCACCTCCTGTTACTTAGTAGCAAAAGAAATTTCACCTTTGACAATTTTACAAATACAAACTGTAGTTTTATTCTGCACAGCATCTTCAATATTAACTGCATCCCATAGCAAAAGACAGCATTAAATACAGTTAGAGATCTTTTTGTTTTTAAGCAAAGGAAGAGAGCAATCAAGAGGCATAAGCCAGGGAGGAAAGGTTCTCTGCTGAAATCCACAGCGAGACTGAAAGCTGATGGGCTATGAGAGAGCTGTTCACGTGGCAAAAAGCTGCAGAGAAGGCGCTGTCATTAAAAGCAGTGAAATAATGTACAAGGGAGGAGAAGTTCTTGTAGTGGTTGAGCCTCGAGAAACTTCAGATGATTCAACAGTTTGCCTCTGAAGAGAACATGGTACACCCGTACTCTACATGGCTACACTTCAAGGTCCTGGTTTCGATCTTCGAAGCCCAGATGGTATCAGGGACCGCATTTCTCTGTGTGTGACCCTGAGGAACAGCTGCGGTCAGTCCCCACGGTTGAGGTTCCCAGTGGGTCAAGGACGCAAGGCTCTCTCTGTGGCTGACATCTGCCTTTGGAATGCCATTGCACAAGATACTGGACTGACGCTGGACCTTACTCCCTTTACAGAATAACATCAGGCATACCGCTTCAAAACCCTTGTGTTGTCACGTCAGAAGAAAGAACAAGAAAAGAAATCAATGTATGCAGATGAATTTACACACACCCTCTTCTACACCAGCTGTATTTGAGAGAGAGGAGCAGAATATGTTCCTGTGGACCAAGTTTGTGGTTTGCTTTAAATTTTTTGAGCTCCAGTACCAAAGAGGTGCGAAACAGATAGCTGGTTGTAAGAATAGATGCATTGTATGTAACAGTAAACAGTTACACGCTTCCTGTTATCATTCGAGATGACCGCACACAGCCCGTTTGTGTCTTTTCTTTGCTCGTTTATTTCAGAGTGATACAAACATACCTAACTCATGAACATAAGTATTACACCACCTAATGTAAATGCTGTACTTTCAGTATGCAGGCAGAGAGGGGCTACATGATGGCTTGGGACTGATAGGACTTTTTGTCTTCTCGAGCAAATAGACTGATAAACCTACAAAACAGGACAGCCTCTTGTCCTCCCATATGCTTAAAGAAGGAGCAATACTTAAACATTTTAAAATGCAAAAGGACTCCCTGAAACACTACTTGGAAAAGAAAACCTTTTTTGCTCAGGAGCTTTATAATGTCCTGTTATTTTAGATTGTGCAGATTTTTCCTTTTTGTAACTAAACAGCAATTTTATTCTAGTGGGCAGGGAGCAGATTTAAAAATTTTAAAGGGGCATTTTCTGTTTAATACTGTGCATAATGAACTACATTATATCTTTCATGCACATATACGTGTTTATGTGCACATATGTATGTGTATATCTGTGACTCTGTGTGTGTGTATGTGAGATACGCTATTTCCTGCAAATTTTGCTTATGATGGTAGACCCTCAGCGTGTGTTGCTATATCCTTATTGTGATGTTTTCTTGAAATATACATTTAAAAATAGGGTGAGAGAGACCCTGTTTTGATTGTCACATTTACCTTGCAATATATTTAGACTGGAGCTGAGGGAGTCACTAAAACAGGTACCTGAAACCTCCTGAAAGTGATTTAGTATGAGAGTTGACACAAAGCCAGCGGGTCTGTATTATCACTTCCTGTTAACTGACTAATGCATTGAGCTGTTTTGACATGTGACCTGTTGATGTTGGCAGCTCATCTCTTCTCAGTCTATTATAACACCAGCTCTCCTCCCTAATTATCACAGCCTGCACCGTCGTCTTCTTTCCCCCAACCCCCCCTCCACATTCCACTCAGCCTATCCCAGGCTTATTGCCATTATTTGCAGCTGCCTCTAAGTATTTCCTCCTGAGGAGAGATCCCATATGTCTGTGAGAGGTCTAGGTGACCAGGTTCTGAAGCTCACTGCTCCAGCTGGAAAGCCCCTGTGAGATACCTCACCACAGTGCAACAAGACAGTTCAAGGCAAATGACAGTAACTCCGTTGTGCACTCAAAATGTATATAATAACAGATTCACAGTAGAGTTAAAACAAAATAAGGATTTGATTTAGGAAAAAAAAAACACCTGGATAAAATGCAGTTCAGTATTTTTTATAAAAATGTAATAAGCAGTACCTTAGCTGAGGAGCAGGCCGAGAACAGAGTATTAAGTTAATATTTTCCAAACATTTTATGTTTCTGGTAGCAGCCACCAAGTAGTGGGCTCTGTACAAAATCCGAAAAAGGCACAGTCCCTGGCGTGAAGAGATTTCACTCTCAATTTTGCCTCCAAATGGAGAATGCAAGTTGTCTAGATTAAATGCAGTTTAACTATCTGGTGTAGCAATCCAAAGTGAAATCTCGATAGATGTTGATTTAGGCCCTGATCCTACAAACACTTGCACGTGTGCACAACTTTAAGCATATGACTAGTCCCATAGAATCAACTACTCAAAGTTAAGTGTTTTCAGGAGCAGCGCGTAGTGATCTGGTTTGGCAAATATAAGCATAATGTGTTTAATACATAACCCCGTTACTTTTGTAGATGCTGAACTCCCTCCCCCCGCCCACCACCACATGGCTCAGATAAAATTGTTTAATGTTTATCTCTGTAGATTAAATTTTAAAATTACAGGTTTGTTTATGTATGGTGAGAACTGTTGGTTGGGATATATTGAAGGAAAATTGTTCCCTTCTATTATCTGGTGATATAGCACTATATTTAGTGTGGTTAAGAAGAAAAAGACATGTAGTCTATAAAGCGGAGTTGTGTACTACAGTCACTATGCAGGGGCACACACACACACACACACACACACAAAAAGCTTCCATTCACTGCAGTGGAAGTTTTTCCTGTGTAGTTGGTAGGGTCAGGCCATTAATCAGCTGTAGTATCTCACAAGTGAATGCTGAGAAGCCACCTTCTGTGCTGGAGGTTGATCTGTAACTACAGTAGTGCAAACCTCCAACGTAAATGTGCTGCTCCACCGTAATAAGGAGCTTGCACCAATTCATCTGCCAAGGAACAGAGATTGTAGCGAAATGCTAGACACACCGAAATTTGCTGTAAGCTGTGTTTTTCCTGCTGAATCTGTTAAAACTAAAGACTTAATCATTTTATTTTACTTGTTATAGCCTGTGTAACTGCAAACTCCAATCAATTACATATAGATAGTTAAATATACAATTTGTTTTGAATGTGTACATTAAAGAACTCCAGGTTTTTCCTGGTAAATAATGTTAGTTAGTTCCATGCTGGGTATATAATGACTATGTATGTGTCAGATCTAGGATTTATTTCCAAACTGGAAAAGTAAATCCAACCCAAAATAAGCATGTCCTTTGAAATCTAGACACTTTATGCCTTCCATCACATCAGGTGACAATGTGAGACATCAAATAAGACGATGGCACATAAGGTGACAGTAAATGAAAGATAAATTAAAGCAATACATTTTTGGATAGACTTCCCTATTAATTTTAGTAGATAAGAATTTACTTTTAATTGCTGGCACATTCATTTTATCAGCTACATTTCCTAATTCGTATTATTACAGATAATTACCAACATATATTTATTCTTAAAACTTTATTTGTTCATTTAGAAGCTAGATTTCAGCCTTTATCTTTGTAGGTAGATGATCCAAGACAGTATTATGTAAATGGCTTAATTAATTGGTACCCTTCAGTTGAAACAGCAATTTACAAAGGGAGTAATCCTTTTCGAGTGGCATAAGCTGTTTAAAAATGGCAAAAAAACAATGCCTTGCTCAGGCACCTTGTCAGACAATTAAAAGTTATTTGACAGAAGTAACTATAATAAAGCACAGGGCCCCTTCCCAAATATATTTTTCAATGTAATTAAAATAGCATCAACTTGAAGACTATGCAGTAACTGTGCTTAAAATTTACATTATTTTGAGACTTAATTATGTAAAATTACAAAACTTTCTGATAAATGATGCAACATGTTGATGGCAAAAATATGATCCCGGTGGCCTACTTATTAAGTTTGCAATATTTCTAGAACAATTAGCTTTCTATGTTCCATGCTCTGCTTGAGGCTACCTTTGGAAACTTCTACTGTAGTAAAGCTATTGTAGATTGTGTCAGCAAAACACCTCACAAAGATCATTCTACACAAGGGGTGATGGTGTCAGTAATGGGCACTCTCCTCCTTTTCAGCAAGAACGCTTTAGTATTTTACTTTATAGCCTTCTAATAGAGGAATTGTATTCATTTATTTTTTCTGATATTTACACAGCAAGGATTTTTAAGCTTGTTAATAAAACGTCCTAAATAAACAGAGAGAGAGAGAGTGTTTTTGTGTGTAAAAAACAGAGGCAATATTTCCCTGAGGTGACTGCCTGGTATCTGAATGCCTTACAAGTTTTAAAGTTAAAATAAGAATGTTTCTCTCCTTTCCTCAACCCTTAGCCATTGGAGAGCATTATATTAATTATTACTAATTATTATTTTTCTCTTTGTTCTAAAGGTGGCAAGGTTTTGTCATCATTCTAAAATCAGAATTGAATTCCATTCTTGGCCCAGCTGGTGAGCTAGCTCTGTCTCCTGAGCTGACAAACCTCACCCTTGTGGCTGATTGATCCAGTGGAATGTAGCTCCTCTGGGAGATTGCGGTGACATGAGAGAAGGTCCATCGAGTAGCGTGGGTCAATCCCTTAGAGAGTTTTGAACGTCAGGACAGAGAACTTGACTCGGACTCTTCAAACGGCAGCTAGCACTGGTACAGTTATTAGCAATAGAAATTGCTGTGAGCACATCACCATGTGCTAAGAACTGTAGCAACTAAAGCTTTTCCAGTTTTTGGCAGCCTCTTTCCTAGATATGAGTTGCAATAATCAAGCTTTGAGGTCACAAATGTGTGGACCATCGTGGTCAGTAGCTGAGATACTAACAAATGTCTCTATTTTTTAATTACTATTTAAAAAAAAATTTTGTACTGGAGGATGGTCAACACTGTTCCCATCTTTTTTAAAAGGTCATAGGATGACCCCTGGAATTATGGACGGGGAGGCACCCTCAGTATAAAGAAAAATAGCTGAGAGGATGATTAAAAAATCGCGTTACAAATCACCTATATGTGGATAATAAGATGGGGACAAACCAGTGCGGGTTTCTGTAACCTGTCAGAATTCTTTGAAATAGTTAACAAATAATGGATAAAGGAGAGCCAGTGGGTGTAATTTATTTAAACTTTCAAAAGGTTTTGGATAAAGTCCTTTAAAGGAGGCAATTAAGAAATCTTGCTAACAATGGGGATGTTAAGGCTTGTCACGATTTTAAAACTGATTTAAAGTCAAAGTTTAAAGTAAGATTACATGGACAGTTCTTACTCCAGGAAGGGGGCAATAATGGGGTTTTTGGAGTAAGTTGTAGGACTAGTAGCTAGACTTCATTTATTTTTATCTTGTGACAGGGTTGGGCCAGATGGCTACAGGAGAGTGACAGAAGGCAGATATATTGGCTCCAGGTTAAGTAGGTCCCTTTTCCCTGGGTAAGATAACAGGGAAGGTTCCAGAACAATCAGGAACTTTCTGGAAACAATTAAGGCAGACAGGCTGATTAGAACACCTGCAGCCAATCAA